AGATTAAAATGTTTAGTTAATACGCTTAGCTTGTAGTAATTCACTAGTGACATGTTTGCAGCCTATTGACTGGGCGAGAGTAAAATTAAAGTGGACTTAGTTTAAGGGGATGGCATGCTTAGATAAGATCAAGTCAATTTAAATTCATTTTGGTTAAGAGAGCTGAGCTGATGTGGGGAATTCTATTAAAACAGCCATCCCTTTAACCTTTTTCCATCTCTCTGACTTCTACTGCACACTTTTAGTGTATTTAATTACTTGTAATTTTGTCAATTCTAGAGTTCCTTTCAGTAGAAAATTTTAGTTTCTGCAATCCTGTGATAATGGTGGCGAGTTTCTTAAGATTGCATTTTAATTTCTTGTTATATTAACCCAGTTAGTTAAACTATGAGATGAGAAGTAATTCGTTAACTACGGAATATGTCTAATCAGTAACAATAAGTAATCAGTTACGATCTGAAAAATTGTTGTTACTTTACAAGCGTGTAATAAATGAGCATCAGACCTTTTATTTTAATGCTGAAAGTATAATTTGCTTCTCAAGAATTTCTCTCGACATCCAATTAACTCAATTATTTCCAAGAACACAACTTAAACTCAAATGTACCATCTATTAAAACGAGTTCCTATTTTAAGCACTGTCCGCAAATTAAAAGTGGAATCTACTTCTGATCCCTTCTAAACGGCGGAATGCGACAATGTGACAGTTCAGGCTTCACATGAAACATTTAAGGAATTTCTGAACAATTCCTCCTCTTCCGAGACCAAAATTAAAACACTTCCCAACTCCTGGAGGGGGTAGAAATCTTGAAAAATAAAAGGATCCAGAGGGCGTGATGTTAAAGGACGAAATGAAAAAGAGGGGTCTGGGGACTTGAGAATCGATTTTTGAAGGAGTTCTGGATGGAGAGCTCGTTAGCGCGACACAAGAAACCTCAGTCGGGAGGTTATGGATGAGGCAACGATCTGCGGCTGTCACGCGCCGAGCTAGAATCACTCGACCATAAATCAAGCCACCACCCCATCTCCGGTGACCTCTTCCGTGCTTTTGGAGAGAATCTGAGCGCGTTTAAGTCCACCGGAAGTGACAAATTCGTCTGAAATCATTCTACAAACTTCCCAGTTTTTAATGGTTCCATCCCGTAAAACAATACAACTAGAGAAATTTTATCTAAAGACTGCCAATTAATGATAAAAACTATCCCAGTTTTTTTTTTTTTTTTTTTTTTTTTTTTTTCAAAATCATGTTAATAGGAGGCTTTCGTGTACGAAAGAATTCAGTTTTCTTATGTTACCATATATTTATTCCAGAGGCTTTTACGGCATTTTCCTACATCATATTTATAGCACTCCTTCGTAGGAGATTTATATACCATTGATATCTAGAACATAAACTAGCACAATTTGGATATTTTTCTTCAAACTGAGCACTGATTTTTTTAAGGTGTCCTTGCTAATTATAGAGTGCAGCTGAAATTTATCTCGGATCAGTTTCCGCTTTTCGCATCGAAAACTTTTCAGCAGTTTGTACATTATAACTGCTTTATTTCTTTAAAAATTTATTTTACATATATTTAGTTTTAAAAAAATACTTTTTTTACGTACTTCAGAGTTATGAAGATGTTGCCCGAAATGATCGAATCACTAAGACGTACTTTAACAAGTTCATTTAGTTTTTATCGATTGCACAGTAACCCATCACATTTTCATATGATTAAATCACATGTATTCTCAAGGTTTATTCAAAGATTGGTAGAAAAGTCAAATTGTCGCAAGGTTGAAAATTTGATTTCTGATTTGTAAAACTTAGTTAGTGAAGGAAAATTAAGAGCTTGACTTGGTTCCAAATTGAGGGCTGTTGGTGCATCTGTTTGTGCATCTTAATTTTAAAAGTTGTTGGAATATATTAGAATTGTTGAGAATGCACTCTGTCTAAACTAGCAACAGCATGTGATATTCTTGGCGCAGCATCATCCGCGAAATAACGTTGTGAGAGGAAAACGGAATTTACTAACACAGCCGAATGAGCGTTAAAGAGAGCTGTTATATCAAAACGAGGTCCTAATGAGAAAAGGAATGAATGCTCAGCTTAATATGCATCTATAGAACAAGATTTGGATGCATACAGTTCGAAGAAAACCGCATAAGCAGAGTATTTGTTGGAGAACTGCTATCTCAAATCTTCTTGTTTCATAACTAAGTGCAAATAGAAGGGTAAGCGCGCCTAAGAGCATAAAACGGGGACTATTTATTAATGGAACAAATATTATTTTCAAATTTGTCATTTTTCAAATTATTTTCCACCTCAGAACGTATATGCGAAGAATACGAACAGGAATTGCCGATTCCTGTTCCGTTGTCCAAACTGTCTATTTCCTACAGTAAAACATGATAATAGTTCAGTTATAAGGTATTTCTCCCGCCTTCCTAGCGTGCCTGCGTGGTGTAGTGGTTCTGCACGCTGGGCCGGTATTACAGAGGTCCGTGGTTCGATTCCCGGCCAAGGCGATTGCTAATTTTTCATCTCTCCAGCTTCCCAATTACCCTAATGTATCTGCAGTGGTTCTCGAACTAAAAGGGTGTTGGATGATGATTTTCCTTACCCAGGATTTGGTGATTGGGTCTCCAAAAACCCCAATAAAGGGGGGAGTATATAAGATGTTTTCCCCGCCTTCCTAGCGTGCCTTCGTGGTGTAGTGATCTTTCTAATTTTTCATCTCTTTCCAGGGATCCGTAGTCCAGAGGTCCGTGGTTCGATTCCCGCGAAGACGATTGCTAATTTTTCATCTCTCCAGCTTCCCGTTTAACCTAATGTCTCTACACAGTTATTCTTTGGGTAGATACATGGCTTCTTGTAACAGGTCCAGTTATCTCTTTCTAAGAAGGAATAAATGTTGTTGCTTACGTAACCCTTTAAAGTGAACACATTCATTCCATGGATGTAGGAAAGGAAGGAGGGCCCAACCGACACTAGAAGTGAAGCAATGCTTTGAAGCTTGGGTCACCAGATGGGGTGTTCTTTGTTTACATTCAGAAGCTCGCTTGACAGGGTTCTGATAGTATTTCGACACACGACAGTTCCATACAAATCGAAAAAGGGACACTTTCGCATGAAAGAAACATTCATAGTGTGATGGATAATAGCAATTTGTATAGTTTAGTGACATTTACGCAAAAATTACATTTTGGTTATTTTCGATAACTAACAACAGCGATTTTGATTATGAATTTGTTTTATAAAATTCTAAGCTGTTGAATACAAAAATATAGATTTTAAGAAAAATGTTATGCTTAAAGAATGAAAAATACCTTACGGTACATTTAAAATTGTATACGTCTTTCGAAAACCCTTGATAGAATATTCACTACTTTCGGATGTATGCTAAATTAGTGTAAATTACTTTACACGAAAAATATAGCGAATGCACAGAAATTAAAGATTTGCACATGCCGGAAATGAAAAATATGAAAGTATGTATGGGTATTTATGCATGTGGTTGCAAAAAGCATGCATCTGCCTTTGAAAAAAATACGTAAATATTTATTAAGTTATTTATAAATGTTATTTGAAATGAAGGATTTATTCACTTCATAAACAACCTGTGGAAAGTTACTGTGAAGAAATCTTAATTAGTTAAATGCATCTAAATTTATAATGATTATGAATATGTTATCTAAATATATAATAACCTTAACATTGAATTGTAAACATAAATAAAAATCATAGTGACAAATACGCTTATAAAACTATTTAAGCAAGAATTGTTGGTACTGGAAAGCAATCTGTTAAAAGGTTTGTAAAGCAAATTCTATGAGATGCGCACGTATTTAAGGAAGTAATAAAGAAGAGTTTTGGAATATGTATTGTTGAAATGAAGGGTAAAAACATTCTGATAAGTATAATTAAAAGAATTATTCCCCTTACATTTTATAATAACTCAGTTACAAGTTTTAAATAATACTTTAAAAGAAAACTTATTTTATTCCCTTTCAGAAATGTTCATAGAAAGTCAAGTACTATTTAAAGTATTTCGCTAATTCCTAATAATCCTCTAATTTAAAATGAACCGAATAGAGCATTAATTATAAATTGACTTACATTTTTCTATTTAAAAGATGCCTCAGAAGCTAAAAAATCATGTCATATTTAAGAAAGTATTTTAGGAAGAAGTTCTATAAATAGAAAAGAAATAATGCATAATTTAATTATTAATAATACAATTAATTAATACAATAAACTTTGATCTTAATTTTTGTACCTTAACCGAATCAAATCGAGTTACCTTAATTTTTTTTCTAATGTAATTAACCAAAACTTGTGAAAATAGTTCATTCAAATTAAACCATTCTGAGAAAACTGTCCTGTGAAAAGTATAGCATTTAATTCCGTTCAGAATGAAATGTTGTTTAAAAATATGTTGTTTTCACATACTTAGGACTCTGAAGTGTTGTATAAAAAGAAAATATATACATTTATATGTATATTTACGACGTAATTACAAAATATTTACATCCGAACGCGTCAAATCCCATTGAACTCAATGGTAAATGACCCAATGTTTTGGTCACCACGTAGGGATCGCGGTGCTTCAGAGCAGGGTATGGGAGAAACTTGTTTAGGGCTACTCCATCTTACTTCCTACCTCCATGATTCATTCGGTACTACGGCCACGGTTTTTTACTGGCGACTGCGTCTTCTAATTGAAAATGTCCTAATTCATTGGAATCAAATTGTTGAATTTGAAATTCTGAAGATGAAATTACATATTTTAGTTTCCAATGTTGCTCATTTCGTGGCCTATCCCAGGAGGACACAGTACTAAGCTCTTTGTTTATGTTTATTCATGTATTATTTTTTAATTCCATCGACGGGATCCAACAGGCTGAAAAGCACCTAACCCAGTGGGCCAGCTGTTCCGTCGAGGGTGAAAAGAAAGAAAGTTGCTTTCTCAATCCCCAGATGTAAATATTGTAAGGTATTTTCTTCCACCTTTCCACATGCCTTCGTGGTGTAATTGGAAGCACACTTGACTCGCATTCGAGAGGTCCAGGATTCGAGTCCCGGCGAGGGCAGGGACTTTTTCACGTCTTTCACTTCAAAAATGCTAATGACTCTACAATACGAAAGAACTAATGTAATCTGTGCTAGAAAGTGGTGTAAGATCGCATTTTCTTTTCCCGCATTTCTCAAAGAATCAGATGAATTTCTAATAGACAAATCGTGTTAAATACATATTACCACCATCTAAACGTCTTATGCGTCCCTTTCAAGAAGACCATATCAATAAGCAGTTCTGAATCGAAGACACTGCTACATCACATAAAGTACAAGATCCTTGATATTTTAAGTGTCTCCATCATTTCGGAAAATCCTTGAATTTTAGAAATACAAATGACTGAGGGTCTTTCTGACATTAAAATTATTAGCAAACGCTATACATTAACGTTTCCTTGAAAACAACGAATGAATCTAGGGCAGAAATTGATGAGAAAAAACAGAACATTTAATTTAGACTAGAAAATTTATAATAGCATTAAATTCATTTTATCTTAACGATAGTGTACGAAATATTACTCGTAAAATGAAGGTAATTTTGATTATAAACTGTGTTCAGAAAAGATTTACATGTTAAAAGGAAAGCTTAAACTCGAAAATACTAAAATATAAATTCAAAATTTAAAACAGAGTTTTGAAACTCCATTCTTAAATCCTCGACTAATCTTTGCTCGTTATTTAGTATACAAACTGGAGTTTAAAATACTAACATAATCATATTTTAATGACTGTTCTAAAAATAAATAAAGTTATTACCTAGCTTTTCAAATAGCTTAAGAAGTCTGAAAATATATTTATTTTAGAAGATTTTAAACGGCTTTTTTTATTTTCTTCGAATAAATTCGGATATTAGTTAGAAATCTTTATTTTTAGTGCTCCAGAACAGTTCTCTTCTAATCCCAAGAATTAAAAGCGGCTTTATGATCATTAAAGAACCAAAATTACTGTTTTCTGACATATTTCAGTGATCTGATATGCTAATAACAACTATACTTTGACAGGAATCTACGCCTGAGAGATAATTATCGTATGCAGGGAAATAAATTACTTTTCGAAACCCTATTCAAAATTCCTGTCAGAAAATTTAAAAAAATGAAGTCAAATTCTAGAACAGAATGATAATTAGTAGCAAGACTGATGGGATGCTATTTAAGGAAAAGTATTATTAGCACTGTATTTGTAGAAAGTAGATTTGGAGAGAAATGTAGCGCATCTTTTACTTTCATTGCTTTAGACTGAGATAATGAAGCATTCACGTAAAATACGAAAGTTTGAATTTCGCTTCTCATTAGAAATATAAATTTTTACCCAGCATAAACTTTATATCAGATTTACGAAGTATCATGGAATGGACATGCACATTATTGGTTGTATATTTGAGGTTTAACAATGTATACATCTGAGCGGCAGTTCATGCTTGTACATGATTCTGTGTAATGAATATGCCCTTTATATATAAATAGAAAGCCCGGCGGTCATACGAAATGACCGCTGTTTTATAAATTGTAATTAAAATGATTTGTATTCAGTTGTAAACCATTTCAAAAACAGATTATTGCTAATGCAAACAAATGTTCACGTTTCCCTTGACACGCTTAATTTGCATTCAGCTGAAAATTCAGTTTAAAATACAATGTCGGAATAAAATCGGGCAAAATTTTAAACTCTTTACGCGAAAGGATATTTAGCATAGGAGTTTGGGTAAACCTACCTGATGAGATGTACTACGCACAACTCGTTAGTTGGTTTCGTCTCCTTTAATTTCTCAACGTTTGCAAGTTTTTAGGTAATTCATGTGTAAATATAGTTAAATGCATTATAAGCAAGCAACAATTGTAGGAATTAAAAATATTTAAATATTCTTAAATACCATGATAATTTAATTAAAACAATGATAACTGCATGTATGGTATCAGTGTATATGGACTATTTGAATACCGTGGCAACTTCGCCCCACTGGCTAGTACAGTTACGCAAGCAACCAATAAACTATCGGCGACAAACAGACATTTAAGAAGCACATAATATAGATAATAAAGGTATACCGTACCGGAAATATTCTTAATTTTTTTAAACGCTACCGTTTTCTCTCCACTACCAGCCATATGCATTATAAAGTTTGCTAACCTTGTAAGGTTCTGTGAAAATTTTGAAAATATAACGCTGATTTTTGTTGTTTGACTTCTGAATTAGTATTTATTCGGCGTGTTATTGTGTCTTAATTATAGAAGCTCCAAACAGGCTTATTTTTTGGTTTCTTTTTTTGCACGTGGTGTGGCCACCATTTTGTGATTGCATGTGTTTCGGTAAACTGTGAAAATTTTGAAAATATAACGCTGATTTTTGTTGTTTGACTTCTGAACTTGTAAGGTATTTTTGATAATTAACAGTCATTCAGAATCTTTGTCACTTCTCTTTTTCCCTTTCCCTAACAGAATGCAAGTTTCAGCTCGCGTCTACCTAATCGAAAGTTTGAAAGCATTTTAGTTAGAGCGTGTTCCACCAGCTGAAGGCCCCTTTATTAGTTGATAGTCTACGATTCCCATCTACTCCGTTGCTTTATTCTTGCAGTTTGTGCTGTCAGCCGGTGTAGGTTAGACTAACTTGTGCGTTAAATATATCTGCAGTGCATTTGGTTAATTTCGACTTAGATTTAGTTTAAATTCGAATTCCTTTTGATTTCTAGCCATAAATGTTGGCTGAGTTTGTAAGCACCAGGAGTGTCTTCTTTTCAACTATTTATATTCTTAATAAAAGGGTCTTTTACGTCCTTCATACGTGTCTGGTTGCTTTTCAAGGCACAGCGATAAGTCGCTGAGCTCTAGAATCTTGACCTGGTGTTTGTTACCTAAATAAGAGAGACACTAATACCTAATTAAGAGAGACACTAATACCTAATTAAGAGTAATTACATAGATTAGCGAAGTGTGAAGTATAAGATCACACAATCAAGTTTTAAATCATTTTGTAATTAATTTCAATTAAATAGGCTGTTTCTATATTGCATCTCATGTTTGTACTTTAAGGAAATTTTATTAACTGACGCTAGTTTCAATTAATACATAATACACTTTCTGGACTGATTCTTTTTTTCGAAAACTTAATTATTTTACCCATTTTTGCAATCATAAATACGATTTTATATTATTATACAATGTTTTTTTGTTATTTATTAAAATTGTGCTCTATTACTGGTAATGTCATGTATTTCGCTGTGGTATTATTATTGCATGTATCACCTACTTAATATTCTTACCCTTATCTCGTTCTGTCTTCTTCTAAAATCTACTTCCACTGGATGGACAGAGTAGCCTGTAAGCTCACAGACAGACCAGTTCTTCACTCGGTAGAATGAGGGAGGGATTAATGTAGAGCTACAGCTTTTCAAATCAAAATTTAATTTAAATGAAACCTTTCTAACTGCATCGACAACTTTTTCTGGTCTGTCTGTTCAACAAAACATTTACATAAACGAATCAAATATAAAAACAACGAAATTATTCTTTGATACATTTAAATTGAATACATCTTGCAAAATAGTTCTTTAATTTGTTCCATATAAAACAAATCACATGAATTTTGATTATTGTCTAAGAAAAACATGGCAGGCATCTGAGTTATGTTAATTAGTTAAGAGCTCCTTGACGCTTTTAGGGTGTTTTTTAATCAGCCTGTAAAATCTCTTTTAATTCTATACAAATATATAATTTCACGATAAAACCGTTAAATTTTAAAGACATTTGCTTTTAAAATTATTTTGAACTTTGCCTTTTACTCTTAAGCGCTAAAATTAAACAGCATCAAGTTCAGAAATTTTGATCTTTTGCAAATTAACCCTAAAAAAGGCAATAAAAATTATTGTAAAATATAAAACATACGTAATAAATAAATATAAAACATATGTAATAAATAAATAATACATATATATATATTGGTCTTTTTGTACTGTACTTACTACCTAGCTTATTAATTATATATATATATATATATATATATATATATATATAAATCAAAAAGTAAATATCGGAACGAAACTGGATAAAATTTTCTTCCTTCATATGAAGGCCTAACCTTTCTTCTCCGGGTAAAAAATTACCAAATTGAGTAAACGTAAATTAATGAAGCTTTCACAAATGTAATCTAGAACTGAAAAATAATATGAAAAAAGAGAAACATTTTTAAAAAATTTCAGAAAATTATATGTATAACAAAGCAAAATAAAATTTTTATTAATCTCCTCTGTTTAACGTTTCAAACAGAACTTGTCAAAGGAAAAGTGTTTTGAAGCCTTAAACCAAGTTGATTAATGAATTACGAATACATTTTCCTTCTTCTGAATCATTTGATACTCAAAGCCACTTTTTTTGCTTCTAACCTTCACAATATTCTAATGGTTCTCAAATTTTCAGATCTTTTCCCTACATGTATTCGTACTCAAGTACAACAAAAAATGATATACAAAAGCTAAATAATAGTAAACAATTATAAAAGAAAACCTATAAAAGGCCTAGAGAAAAACCTAAAAAAAGGCAAAACAAACTCATTGCATAAACTAAACTAAATGAAGAAAATTTCTACATCAAGAATTAATGAAAGTTTTTTGCTTCAAAACTGAAAAATAAACTCAGTCGAATTATATAAAGCCTAAGACAAGAGCGGCTCAATAACTCGAAAATTAACCTTTTGTGAAGTTAAAATTTGTGCCAAAAGTTATAAGTTAAATATGTATATATATATACTATAAATATACAATATTTATATACTATGTATATATATATATATTTAACTTTATTATATATAATAAAAAAGACTTTGCAATATTAATGGTATGATACGTAGAAAGTTGAATCCGTAAAGAAGAACAAGAATTTTGATGCTGACGTAAAATGCTGGCATGCCAACCCACAATGAATAGGAAACTGACAGCGGAGGCAGATAAAATCTTCATTTTATTTCAGTAAACATGTTTCGGCTACAAACAACTTGGCATATTATTTGTGCCTATTTCAAAAGGTTT